CTGTCATATGTGGTTTCCTAGGCTGTAATCTTTATGGAAGCAAAATGTCATGTTATTCTCTGAGGAGCCTCTGGTGAGTTCAAACTGCTGACCTTTCAGTGAGCATCTGAGCACTTAACTGCTCTGCCACCATGGATCCAGATGGTTGATTTAAAAAACCATTGCCATTGAGTCAATTTTGACTCGTAGTGATCCCATACAACAGAGTATAACTGCCCCCATACAGTTTCCAAAGCTGTAAATTGTTATGGAATCTGATTGCCTCATCTTTCTCCCAGGAAGTGGCTGATGGGTTCAAACTACCAACCTTTTTGTTAGTAGCCAAATGCCTTAACCACCGTGCCACCAGAGCTCCTTAGATGGTCGATATAAATAAAATATATAATGTAAATATTATATATCCTAAGTGCGGTGTAGTAAATTACTTAGTGTGGCTTTTCTACCCATAAGTCTTTGTAAATTCAGTGGTGGAATGAGCATCTGAGGAGCTCCTGATTGTAAATGTCATCCACCTGGGTTATTTCTGTTGGGCGTGGCATAACGCAATGTTATGGGAGGCGCTCTCTCAGGTGCTTAGAGTTCTGATGCTATGATTGGCTAGTTTGGCCACTCTGCCAAGCTCAAAAGGAGGCCTCCTAGAGGCAGAACTCTCTCTTTGACTGCTGGTTGAGGAAGACGTGATGCTGAAAGAGACACGCACCCCTGAAAGAGACATGTGCTGCTGGGAAAGAGACGCAAGAGACATGCATTGCTGAGTGAGACACTGAGGGAGCACTGCTGGGGAAGAGACTGTGAGAGACTTGGCTGAGAGACGGTGGGCTGGGGAGAGAGACTGAGCATTTTTCCTGAACTCGAATTGTAGCCTGGTGCTTCCCTAATAAACCTCATAATCTGTGAGTTCTGTGTGGCCACTGCAGTGAATTATTGAACCCAGGAGAGAGGTGGTGGGTGCTTTGGGAGGAACGGTTGATGAAGGGGCTGGAGGGAGGCAGCATGTCTGGCCTCACAGGAATAGGCCTTGGATTACTGCTGGTAATCCTGTCTTCCTCTTGTAGGGTTAGAGGAGGCCTGAACATGTGGCCTCCTTGTCCTTTTTGCACTAAGTCGTTTTGTGTACTTATTCTGTCAGTTTGTATGAAATGTATCCTTCTCTGATGATACGTATTTCTCCTTTTAGTTCTGACAGTTTTTGGTTTCGTATATTTTGAAACTCTCTTATTGGGTGCTGAGGAGCCCTGGTTGTGCAGTGGTTAAGGCACTTAGCTGCTAACCAGAAGTCCAGCCCTTTGAAACCAGTAGCTCCATGGGAGAAAGATGTGGCAGTCTGATAGAGGGGATTGCAGTGAATGTCACAAAACAAAATGTGTATAAGTTGTTGAATGGAAAACCAGTGTACTCTGTAACCTTTCACCCAAATCACAATTAAAAAAAAAAAAAAAGTCTATGAAACCCTATGGGGCATTTCTACTTTGTCCTATAGGGTTGCTGAGTCAGAATCTACTTGATAGCAGTGGGTTTGGTTTGGTGGGTTTTTTAGGATTGCTATAAATTCTTGAGTGATTGCCTACATGTTCTGTTTCATATGCTCTTTATTTTATTCCTCTTTTCCTCTCTTCTTTGGGTAAATAGGATATTTTAAATATATTTGTAGAAATATTAAACTATATAGAAAATTCATTTTCATTATGTTTATGGAAAATATATTTTCTTTTATCTCTTCCACTGGCTTTTTTGTTATAACTCTTTTTTCCCCCAGTTGTTGTAGGGTTTACAGTCAAAAACCAAAACCAAATTCATTAACGTCAAGTTGATTCTGATTCATAGCAATCCCCATTGAGTTTCCAACGCTATAAATTTTTACGTAAGCAGACTGCCTCATCTTTTTTCTGCGGAGTGGCTAGTGGGTTTGAACCACCACCTTTTGGTTAGCAGTCAAATACCTTAACCACTGCACCACCAGAGCTCCTTTAATTTATCACTGCCTGCTTAGAATTAACATTGAATCATTTCATGTGACATATAGGAACTTAATAATAGTATAATTCTCTTAATCCCCCTTACTCTTTGTCTATTGTTGCCATATGTTTTACTTCTATGCATAACATAATGTTATTTTTTCTTTAAAGAGTTGTTTTTTTAAGAATAAAAAAATATATTTACCCTCTACAATATTAATATAATATTAAAGGAAGTTTAATGTTTCTTGTAGTGTGGATAAGGTTCCTAGGTGATGCAAATAGTTTACACTTGACTGCTAACCTAAAGGCTAGTGGTTCAAACCCACCCACTGTCACTTGCAGTCTTCTTCCAGTAATATTAAAGCTAAGAAAACCCTATGGAGCAGTTCTACTCTATAACACATGAGATCACCATGAGTTGGAATTAACTCAATAGCAACTCACAAAAACAACATACCCTGAATAGATTTTATGGCAACAAGAACATCTATTTCTCAACTATCCTTTATTTGAAAATATCTTAATTTAGCCTCATTATTTGATATTATTTTTCCTGGAAATGGAGTTCAAGTAAGGTAGATTTCATTGCCTTTTGCTTCTGTGGATCTTGATGCAAAGTCATCTGTTCCTCTTATTATTAGTCCATGAATGTATTACATCTTTCTCTTCTGGTTCCTTTTAATATTTTCTTTTAAGTTTTTTTTTTTTTTTTTTAAAGCAACTTGACTATGATTTACCTCTTTGTTTCCTTTGAATTTAGTCTTCTTCTGATTCACTGAGAATCTTAATGGATTGATGTGAATTGAAGCCTTCACACCAAAATAGAAAAATAGTTGTTCATCATCCAGACAACAAGCTGGATTGAGTAAAATGTAAAAGGACAAAGGGTCCATGCTAATTGTCTCTTGAGGGAGCTCCCCAGAGATGACCTCAGGACATTTTTCCTTATATTCCATTGTCTGGAATGTAGTCACAGAACTCCATCTAGCTACAGAGAAGACTAGGAAATGTCGTCTTTATTCTGCAGACATTCGACTAGGAGTTCTATTACTGTGGGAGAAGTGGAGGCAGATATGAATTAGGGACCACCAGCAGTATGTGCGACACATAGCCAATAAGGGACAGAGTTCTGACAAATACTGAAGGGTCTTTTTTCCCATTCTTGGCCCTTCTTCTGTACCTCAGACATTAAGTGTTTTAGCAGAGGGTTAGAGCTTCAACTTGAGAGTCAGACTGCCCAAGTTCAAACCCCATCTCTGCCATTTTCTTGATACATAACGTTGTAGAAGTTACTTGATCTTTTTGTGCGTCAGTTTGCCCATCTGAAACATAGTGAATAATGGCACATACCTCATAGGGTGGATGGGAAGGCTAAATGAATTAATGTAGTTAAAACAGTTAACTAGTACCTGGTATGTAGAAGTGTGTGCTGTTATTAGATATAATTTTAATGGACAGTCCTTTGAGCCTGAGAAGAAGTGTTCTTGGAGATGCTCTTACTCCTACCTACCACTTCTTCCAAGACTTGTGTGCCCAGGACCCCACCCCCATTCACCAGCCCCACTGCTTGGTCTGCTAACTGTGCACATGTTCACAGAGCAGAGTGAGAATACCTCCTGATTCCAGAAAACTCCCTCTCATACATAACCAGGGACTCCATGCTGAAGGATTCGTGCAAAAGTGGAGTTTGTTGGCGTACCTGAAACTGGCTGAAAAGCTGGTTCCTTCCAGTTTCTCTGTCTGCTAACTCTTGTGTATATTCTGACCTCTAGGGAGCTCCAGTGCCATAGTGCCTAAGGCACTTGACTGCTAACCAGAAGATTGGCAGTTCAAACCCAACAGCCACTCCTCAGAAGGAAGTTTGCGCAGTCTACTTCCATAGAGATACCACCTCAGAAACCCAAGGAGGGGTCGCTATACGTATATATACACACACAGAAATGACATTCAAATACAGTTTTCATTGGTTCTGAAGCCTGTGCTCCTTAACGCTTAAGTCACACAGAGAAGCCACATACGTGAGACCACAGATGTGATGTGTTTGCCAGAGAATGGATTTCTCAACATTTTAAGATATTGAAAGTTTCAAACGAGAATCTAGATTTCAGGTTCTGGGATGCAGAGAACCTCTGGTGGCACTGTGGTTAAAGCACTGGGCTGCTAATCCAAATGGCGGTGGTCTGAACCCACCAGCCACTCTGCAGGAGGAAGATGAGGCAATCTACTTCCGTAAAGATTTACCATCTTGGAAACCCAATGGGGGTTGCTATGAGTTGGAATCGACTCAATAGCAGTGGGTTTTGTAACATTCAGAAGGTCTGTTAACTGGCCCCGTGTTTCCACTGGCAGCAGTCAGCTGCAGATGAGTGGCAGCTGTCCCCTTTAGGTTGGGTGTCCCTTCTCCAGTAATAGTCCCTGCCCCTCCTGTTTTCTTACACTCGGCCCCCTTCCCTCATGGACGTTACCGGCCTTTCTCCTGCTGGCATTTGAGTTTGTGACTCCTCTTACATTATTGCTTCCCTGGACTCTGTCCTCTTTTTCTTCCATCCGCCCACCCTCCATCTGGTCCAAGAATTGACAATGGCGACCCCATGTGTGTTAGAGTAAAACTAGCCTCCTTAGAGTGGTCTGTGGCTGATTTTTCAGAAATTGGTGCCTTTTTCCTGAGACACCTCTGGATGGATTCCAACCCTCAAGCTTTCAGTTAGCAGCTGAGTGCATTTCCAGCATCATCTGGGGACTCAGTACATGGACACATGTCTGCATATAAGTATATTCATATCCATGTATTCATGCCCATCTATGAAGTTACATATTTTATATCTCAATAAAATGGAGTCATGGCCGACTGTTTCAGCCCAAGTTTACCAAGACTGCGAATAAACTGTCTTCCCCACCCTGGTTGGGTTGTGAATCTGGAAATTGTATTAATGATTAATTGGTCAATTCTTTCACAATGGAGAATTAACACTGGATTCACGTTATTAGTTATTATTATTATTAGACGTTTTGATTTTTAACCCTCTGTGTGTATTCTCACAGGATTCTTTGGATCTGCCTGCGAGGAGAAGGTGGACCCCTGCGCCTCGTCCCCGTGCCAGAACAATGGGACGTGCCACGCAGACGGCGTGCACTTCAGCTGTAGCTGCAGCCCTGGCTTCACAGGGCCGGCCTGCGCCGAGCTTGTCGATTTCTGCGCCCTCAGCCCCTGTGCTCATGGCATGTGCCGCAGCGTGGGCACCAGCTACAAATGTCTCTGTGACCCAGGTTGGTATGCTCCCGGGACTGCAAATCCTTTCTTTTCCCAAGCTCAAGCAAAAAGCTTTAATTTTTCTTTTACATCTGAACAAATGTTGGCCCATTGAATGTGGTATATTTATAAATATATGCAAATCCCTTTAATTTATAACACACTTTATTTTTAGCCTTATTTTTGGCAGGGCTTTAAAAATTCCATTTCCCCTTTCCAAGAGACACTCACATTTATCACAGAAAAAATAGAAAATAAAAGTAAGCCAAATGAAGAAAAGGGAAGCCAGGCTTAATCTTACAACAAGTTAATTATTTTTAACAGTTTGCCGATGTTCTTCCAGCTTTTACCGTGTTGCAGATCTTTTAATACCATGTTCTTTAGTGAACAAAATATATTCTTCTGTTCTGATATGCATGAGCACTATCATGCTATCCATTCAGAATTCTGCTAATGTTTTCACTCTGTGCATATACTATGTAGCATAAGACTGCTGACTCCCTGTGTAAATGTTGAAAAGTTCAATCATTTATATTCCAAATGTCTTCAGTATTTGTAATACGGATTAGTTATTATGAAAGTTTTGATATCCAGGATTCAGAGTGATTACTAGTTATCATTTCTTTCTCCACAAGGTACTGGTATGGTCTGAAAACAACACGGGTGGGAGTGTTTTATATTCTCCACTTTCTATTCTGGCATGTCTTCATTCTTGTACAAGCTAGCCCTTCAGACGGCTTCCCATCTTTGTCCACTCACAAATGTCCGCTGGCTGGTCACCGTAGCTACCAGTACCTTGGTTTTGCTTGAGTCCTGCTTTGTTCATGATACATCCTTTGCCCATATGCCTTCTTTTCTTCCTTTCGCCTCATTTTACCTAGAAAATTTCCTCTTCTGGGGCTGAATAAGCTTTCTCATGTCTGAGTTCCAGCAATCACCACGTCATCCCTTTCATGGCCTTTACAACAGTACATCATTTCTCTGTGTATGTCACTCTCTCACCAGTACTGAACATCTTTTTTCTTCAGCTTCTCTGAGTTGTTTCTGTCTCGTGTCCTATTTTTTCCACCTATAGGACTCCCTTTACCATTTCTTGTAGGGCAGACCTTGTGGTAACGAACTCCCTCAGCTTTTGTTTATCTGGGGATGTCTTAATTTCATGCTCACTTTTAAAGATCAGTTTTACCAGACATTGGTTGAAAGTTTTCTTCTTTTAGCTCTTTAAATATGTTATCCCAATGCTTTCTAGCCTCCATGGTTTCTGAGGAGAAAATTGGCATTTAATTGGAGTTATAGGGAAATGCATCTAAGTATTTGAACAGTGTTTCGTATAGATTTTTGATTCTTTTGTTTTCTGAGGAGTTTGGGGATTGATATTTTGCCAAGTATCTCTCTACCCTCTGCCCTGAAATCTAAAGAGAATGGGGTTATTTTATCTCCTTGGTGACAGTTCTGGGTTTTTCATAAACCTATAGGTGAAGAAGTTCTTCTGATTCTGTATACAACATGAAGATAATTTTCTGAGTTGACACACACCCTTTCTTGTCAGAGCCATGGTGGGGATGGGAATAGCTACCCCTGTGAGACCCATTTTCTTCCAGGTGTTTTGCATTGTGTGTGCCATGAAGCTAAGTATTCTGGGTGTGGAGGCCATGCAGGGCTGTGCCCTTACCTGTTGGGAGTGTAGAGCACTATGAACACTGTGTGTCTGTGGCCTGAACAAGTGCAGCAGTGCTGAAGAGACAAGGTCTTACTCCTTAACTACACCAAAGGCTTCCTTATATTTAATTAGTTTATTTTTAAAACTCTAGATTGGATGTAGCTATTTAAAGCTAAATGGTGCTTTTTAATAATACTAAGTAAAACACATCAATGTATGTGAGGAGGCTTCCAAACCCATTGCTATCAAGTTAATTCTGACTTATTGTGACCCTTCAGGACAGAGGAGAACTGCCCCATAGTGTTTCCAAGGCTATAAATCTTTAGAGAAGTGGACCACCTCATCTTTCTCCCATGGAGCGGCTGGTAGGTTCAAACCACCAATCTTTTGGTTAGCAGCCAAATGCTTTAACCACTGTGCCACCTGGCATGGAGTATTCAGAGCTGTCATCTTTCTTTCCACTCATGGAGCTTCCAGTAGATTTCTTTCAGCCATATAGAGTGGAATATGTCCTGTTCCCTCTCCATCTTTCCCGTCCTGTTCCATCTCCACCTTTCCCGTCCTCCGTTCTCTACTCAAACTTCGTTGATGACCATTTGGAACATTTGACTTAGTAATGGCCTGTGGTCCTGCTTGGGCGCTGGCTATAGCAAATGATCAAGTAGCTTCTACAAATCTGAAGAAACTCGAGCTTCATCTCACAATACCTTCATTTCCTGGGCAGTCTCCTGGGGTAGAGGCTGGGAGTTCTGCCAGAGCTCCCTCAGAGAACTGGGGAGCTTCCTGAGCTTGGAAGCTTCTCTGAGAGGGTGTTTCCTTAAGATCTGTAGGTGACAGTGTGTGAAGTAACAAAGCCACCTCAACATCTGGCACGGATTTGCATTTTAAGAGGTAAGAATGGTACTCTCTGAATGGAAAATTCTAGTCTTCATCTTTGAGAGCAAGTAATTGCTTTACCACTAGTTTGCATAATAGAAGAACCTCAGGAGAATAAGTGAAATTAGGTATCTAGCTAGAGAGCAGAAAGCCGATCATCTTTACGGGGAGAGAACAGGTCCCTGTTTGGTAGAGTGGCAGCAGATTGAAGTCATGTCAGGCTGGTAATTATTTCCCATCTGACAGTATGCCATTCTGATGACTGGAAATCAGGTTGGCCAGGTGCTTTATTCCCAAACCTCATTTGTAGCTTCTCAGACTGGGGATTTCTGATGGGATTTTAATATTAAATAATAAAATGTCAGTGCTGAGTAATCACTGAAATGTTATCTTCCACTAACTGTGTTAAGTGATAGGCCACACATTCTCTGAAAAATTGCAAATTGAAATCTCCGGAAGACTGGAGAAGTGACAGCCTGGAGCTGCTGAGAGCTTGCTGGGCAGCTGTGACACAGAGGGGAAGCTTGCCACCGAGGCGTCTGGTGCCTTCACATGTGTGAACCGGGGGGTTCCACGTGTCTTCCACAGGATGGTGGCACGTGGAGATGACCATCTGAAGAAGCAAGAGTCGACTGATATTGGAAGGAATCCCTGGTGAGAAGGGACATGGTTGCCTGAGTTCCCTGCTCTGGGGTCCTGCCTACTGCATATGAGTGATTACTCTAAACACATTCCTTGAATTGTATTAATCCTGCCATTACAGAATGGGCCTTAAATATTACTATTTAAGGTACTATTTATGATATTTAAAATATAAGGTACTCCAGGTGGTTCAAACCCACCAGCCACTCCTCGGAAGGAAGGTTGGGCAATCTACTTCCGTAGTGATACTGCCTTGGAAACCCAAGGGGGGGTCACTATGAGTTAGGTCCAACTCGACGGTACATAACAACAACAACAGAAGATTTTTACATGCAAATAATCATATTAGGTTTGATCTTCATAAATAACATCTTGGACATTGTCAACTCAATTGCAGTTGAGGTCACAGACTAGATCTGGAACAAGTGGCCAACCATGTACTTCTGCCAGTTCTTCACCAAAGGGCTGGTAACTCAATTGGATCATTCAGATAATATCACAGACTGCAAAGAGGCATCGTGGTAAGGCATTTGACTGCTAACTAGCATGTCTGTGGTTTGAACCCATCAGCTGCTCCATGGAAGGAAAATGAGGCAATCTATTTCTGTAAAGATTTACAGCCTTGGAAACCCAATGGGGGTTGCTATGATTTGGAATCGAGTTCATGGCAGTGGGTTTTTTTTTGGGGGGTGGTGGTGGTAAATTAAATGAAATTTTAACTTAATTCCAAATGAAAAATTTCCAAGACAATTATAGGAATTGTAGATACTGCTTTTTGTATCTTCTGCATGCATCTCATAGATGACCTGTATTTCCAGTCTGTGTGACCTGACATTGGGTCCCTAGTGGCACCAAATGGTTTGTGCTCAACTGCTAACCTAAAAGTTGCTAGTTTGAGTCCACCCACCAGTTCTGTGGAAGAGAGAGCATGGTGATTTGGTTCCATTAAGATTATAGCCAAGAAAATCCTATGGAGCAGTTCTACTCTGTAACATAGGTCGTGATGAGTGGGAATTGACTAGTTGGCAACTACCAACAATACCAAAAACATGAGCTGAAATACACAGCTCGACTGCTTCCTTCTTTTAAATACTGACTTGGCAATGTTTACGTTCTGTTGGAAACAGTGTCTACTGGAAGCAGAATCAAAGGTAGGACTTAATGGTCAGGATTTTAATATCAACTGTAATTGTAATTTCAGTAATAAAGAAATAAGTGTACTCACAAAAATACGAAGATATTTAGCTTGCTAATGAATGTCTAATTGCATTTAGTTTCTTAGATAAGGACAGTGGACAACCATTCATCTCTTACACCAGCATACACTACCTGGTTCACATGGTGTTTGTCCTACTATAGGAGTTTCCTGACTTACGTATCACCTTATTCTTGAGAGTGGTAGCTCATATAGGATAGATCAGCTCCTTCTTCCAGACCCTAGTTCTGAAATAGGATACTTGTCCTCCTCATCTGGATCCCAAATAGAATCCTGTCTACCTAGCTACAGCTATAGAAAGGGAGGTTTGCCTCACTCTCTATAAGCTGTGCTCTACCTGAGAATAAGTTGAAATCTCGACACTGATATCGTGAGGACATGAAGGACTGAGGAAGAGAAGGGCAGCCCCGATACCTGGGAGCTGACACTTACAGCGGGGCCTTGGTGTGGTTAAGAGCTGGCCTTGTGCTCAGAGCTGGACCACAAACAGTCTAGGCTGTGGTCACTCTGAGGCCATGACAAAGTGAGGTAAAACAACACCACTTCATAATTTTGTCCAAGCACAGAGGAAGACAAGATTGCTGTGTAGCCCACAAAATAGCAAACATGGCCCTCTCCTGCTG